ACATTAGATCGTTCTTTAAAATGTTTATTTTAGCTGGAAGTGATGGTGCAAGCCTTTTATCAAAGTACTTGGGAGGCAGGCAGTTCTCTGTGACTTCAAGGCCAACCTGGTGTACACAGCAAATTTCAAGCCAGCTACATAGAGAGACTCTGTCTCCAAAAAATTAATTAATATTTACCAAAAAGAAAAAAAAACTTTAAAGCATGAAGTTGGGAAAGAGTAGGAAGCAAATCCAAAAGAGCCAACGTGGTGATCTGGGTCCTACAGCCCATTAAATGCCAGCTATGCGGGTTTGGGGGTTTAGCTCAGTGGTAGAGTGCTTGCCTAGCAAGCGCAAGGCCCTGGGTTTGGTCCTCAGCTCTGACAAAAAAAAAAAAAAAATGCCAGCTATGCCTCAGCCACTGTGACATTTCCTCAAGACACAAATGAGGGGCAAGAGCAACAATTCCCCCTCTTACACATAATTTAAAACAGAAGGAAAGAGATGATGGTATCAGAGTTTATCGATATGATATGAAGACAACTTTAAAATTCTATGAAAGACATGAAAGAACTAAGGAAACCAAAAAGGGAAAGAAGGAACGATGTATTAGCAAGTTAAACATTAAAACATGTTAATTCTCCTTGCAGTGAAATGCCGAGACCATTAGGAGAACTTGATAAATCATGACACATAAATTTAACTGGGCTGGGATGTACTTCAGTTGGTCAAGTGCTTGCCTGGCATACACAAAGCTCTGTATTCATTCCCCATCACTTCCTAAACATGGTGGTACATGCCTGAAATCCCAAGGCTCAGGAGGTGGATGATGTAGTCTTATGAATTAACCGGGGGAGGGAAGGGGCACAGAGGTGTCACATAAGCGACCAGCAGCATCTAGTACAGACTAGGTTCTTAAAACTATGATTCCTTTGTTATCCCATCCTGGAAAAAAAACAGAAACTGCAAAGTCCCCTAGAAAAGCAAGTCAACCAGGGAATGGAGAGATGGTTCACCCGGTAGGAGTACTGTGCTCTTTCAGAGAACCTGAGGTCAGTTCTCAGCACCCACACAGTAACTCTACAACTGGCTGTAACTCCAGCTCCAGCAGATTTGATGCCCTCTTCTGGCCTCCATGGGCACTGCATGCATGTGGTGTACAACACAAGCCTACAGGCAAACATTCATACACATGAAATAAAAATCAATCTTCAAAAAAAAAATCTGCTACTCCTATAAATTTCAGTAGAAACAATTTGTAAGCTTCAACCATAAACTAAGGTTTTTCTGGCTGGGGGAAGTCTCAGAATAGATCTTATTTCCTAATCTACACACACACACACACACACACACACACACACACACACACACACACATACACACACGAAAACACCACGAGAGCAGGATCTTTGTTTCAATTGCAACAATCTATAGCATTTAGAATAAACTCCGAAGTGAGTGTTAGAGTAGACCCTATCCCTTGAATAATCTTGCCTCTCAGTCATTCTGTAGACTTCTCAGTGAGGTACATCAGGGACTCTTTGCATTGGCATTCATCTATTATGTAATAACTGTGTGCCTTCATGCCAGTTCTCTGCCTTTACATATATTGGTAGGGGAGATCAATGCTTGGTTTAACTTAAGCAATGTTATTCCAAGTGAATTCTGCAAGGGGTTCCCATGAAACTGTAAATCAATAACCGCTTGGTTCATCCACAGAGTCCTGCTACAAAGTACTTCTAATACAGCTGATTTACACTTGGGCACAGGCCCTTGATGTGCTTGCTGAGACCAGTAACAAATTGAGAACTGCAGATCATACTTTGAATAGCATTAAATTTAAAGGGGAGCTGAAACACTCACGTTCTAATGTGGGAGAGTCTTTCTTTACATTACACATTGCTGTGTCAGCAGAGGCTGGAGAGATGGCTCAGCAGCTGTTAAGAGCATTAGTTGTTCTTCCAGAGGTCCTGAGTTCGATTCCCAGCAACCACATGGTGGCTCACAACCATCTGTAATGAGATCTGGTGCCCTCTTCTGGCATGTAGGCAGAACACTGTGTATATAATAAATACATTTTTAAAACATTGCTGTATCTGTATCAAATCAATTTTCCCACTGACGGGAGAGACCGGAAGTATACAGACATAACAGTTAAGCAAATTAAAGGCTCAGTGAGTAAAAGCACCTGCCACCAAGCCAGACAAGCAGAGGTACAATCTCAGGATGCACATCATTGTGAAAGGAGAGACATCCCAATCGTTATCCTTTGCCTTCCATACATGCATCATGGCACATGCACACACACAAAAATAATAATAATTTTTTTGTTTGTTTGTTTTTGGTTTTTCGAGACAGGGTTTCTCTGTGTAGCTTTGTGCCTTTCCTGGAACTCACTTGGTAGTCCAGGCTGGCCTCGAACTCACAGAGATCTGCCTGCCTCTGCCTGCCAAGTGCTGGGATTAAAGGCGTGCGCCACCACGGCCGGCCTGTTTTTAAGTCTTCACTACAAGATACATGGTATCTTCTTCAGGCAAGACTGAGCTGCCGTCTCCTCTTCTTAAAGATGAACCCTTCCCATTCCAAATTGAAAAGTGAAACATGTAAACCAAAGGTCAAAGAGGCTAGAGAACTCCTGCCTGCCCGTGGTTAAGGAGCCCCTCCAAATACCACCCCAAAATAAGAGGCCGTGGTTGGAAAGCTTTTTTTTTTAAAGAGAGGCAACATACCTCCTTTGAGAATTCGCAACTCTCCACCTCGTCTCCCATCAAATCATACAGGGATCTCTGCCCCCATCCCAACTGATTTCTCTGTACAGGCCGCCTCCTCTGACAGTTTTATCATCATGCCTTAGCTTTCCCCTTCTGCAATCGTGCTTCCTTAATCCAACAATTTAAGAACTGAAGCTCCTCTTTCCCGACTCCCACCCAATTGATGCCTTGCTCTGTGCCTTTCTTTCTTTTTCTTTCAATTCTTCAGCCTGTAGATTTCCTCCAAATAATTGTGGTTTCCCCGGCTGTTCCGTAACTGAGGTATCTCCTGACTCTTTCTGGTTCTGCTATTTATTCCTCACAGCTGGATCATAAAACTTCTGTAAATCAGTATGGTGCACACACGGTTTCCCAGCAGGATTTACAAATGCTACTGTTCGACAGCCAACGTGATGCAAATAATCGACGACAATCATATCGGTTTCAGGGAGAGCTGCGGCTCTTTCAACTCCATGTGTAGCTTTGTTGATGTTTATAAATTGAAATTCTGTAAGTAGGTAAGATTGTGTCCTTATAAATACTTAGTATGTTGTTATCCACCTGCCTGATATCCGTGTTTACACATCATAAACACTTAATAAATATTTTATTTGGCTGACAAGAAATTTTATAATGCTTTAAAAGAGAAACAGTAAAAACAGATCTTAAAAATCACAAGCTTCACCTTCAAGTGTAACATTCTGCATTCCAACAGCTCCACACTTAGGAACGGGGATTAAGGAAATTATCTTAAATATAAATACGTGATGTAAATTCACATAAAAATATGCAAAAGTAGTTTTTCATAGCACCTGGATGTTCAGCAATGATTAACAAAATTATTATATTCACCGAAAGGTTGTGAGACAACACAATAGTAGCTATATAAAACTGGGGATATTATATCTAAACATGAAACCCTAAGGTTAAGGGAAAAAGCAAGGCTACAGATATGACTCTCAATATTATAGCAACTATTCTAAAGCCAGGGAGAAAAAGAAAACTAGATGGAAACATGTATCAGTGAGATCACAAACAATAATTTTTCTTCTGTTCTTTCAAAAAAATCACACAATGAGCACTGACTACTTTTGTAATAAAAATAAATGTGACTCTGAAAAGTCCCAATCTTTTACTCAAATAATAAGGAACATCCAAACTGTGTGTAGGATGTAACAGATGTAATTGAGCATGTCTATACCTGTCTGTATTTTAGCTTCCCTCCTACATCACCTTTGAGGTAATTTTTTTATAATGAACACTGGAATTCTAATAGCATAGCCAAACATGCCATTCACTTTGACTCTTGGTAATCCACAGCTTCAAACGCTAAGTATTCTCTCTTCACTGATCTTCCGCTCTAGCTGGATGAGCTAACCACAAACCCAGAACCGAGGCTCCTTTAAACCCCTTCTTCTCCATTGGTGTGTCTTAAACAAGTCACTGATTTCACGTATCATCAGATTGTTGCGAGTCTTTTCTTGGTGGCGTAGATCTGCGACTCGAAACCTCTGCAGTCAGTGATGCTCCTGGTGTCTGTCCTGGATTCCCACTTTCCTTCTGAACTCACTACTTCCGGTCCTGTTCTTGACTTAGGTAACAGCTGCTGCTTGCAGCTACTCAGACCCGTTCAACCGGCAACCTTCCCTCTGTATAGACACTACATCCCAAGTAAAACAAAAATCACTCTACACTGCGATTTTCACCACATGGTTAGAAATGCTAAACAGCTCTGAGATCATTCCTCAACCTCCCAATGTCACTGCCAATGCCACAAGCAGTATATGACCAATATTAAACGTAGAGACGGATGCTCTTTGCCACTAGCCATTCAAAATACTTTCCGTCTGCTATGAATAAACTTTTGGTTGGAAGCAAAGCCCTTTCAAATATTTCCAGTTTTGCTTCCTTCTCCCTAGCCCCATGCCAAAGCTCAAGCATCCAGGCCATATCTTATCTTTCTCTGCAGAGCATCCAATTGGCTTTTTATAGCCAGAAACTCTCTGAATGCTAAGCATGCCCTTGGCTATTAGCTTCCCCTGGCATGGTCTGAAAGTTATTTTTAACTTTGAAATTAGCATGGAAGCCTCCATTTCTCATCACAGCTAGTCAAAACATCCCCATTTCCTACACTAATGCGATCTTCCTCCATTCAGAAGAAACTCCTGCATTATAAAGCCGTGATGTATGAAGGAGACGCAGAAATCCAAGGGAGGAAGAAGAGCACACCGAAGCCCAGCTAGCTCTTCGTTTATAAACTTGACTCTTACCTTTCTGCTGCCTCCTGTAGAGTCAATGTGCTTTGAGTCCCGCTCTTGAGGGGGGATTTTCCAAACAGAGTTCTGAGGATAGAGGAAAGCCTCCTGAAAGTCGCAGAGCTACAGAGGACCAAGTTGAGAGACAGTGACGGTTGGGGCAGTCACTTTAGCTGAGGCGCTACTCACCCAGGATAAGAAAAGAAGGGGAGGCTACGAGCCAGGGTGGGTGGTATCTAATCCTGGGCTAGTCAGTGACCTCACTGACAACTTGTTACTGAAAATACTTGGTTGAAAAAGGCCAGGCACATACTTTCCCTAGAGACCCACAGACCTCTTAAGAGGCTCGAAATAAGTTAGATTTAACTTTCTATCTTCCCTGTCCAAAATAAGGGACAGTTTCGGATTAAAGCTGAAGGTTAGAATTACTGAAAGTGAGAAATTGTAAAGCAGGGGATACGAAAAGGCCAGGAAATCCTCACACTGTTATTCCTTAAAATGCAGAGTCTCTGGAGCCGTGGGTCTCATCTGAGACTGGTTTTCCACTGAAACCTTACCGTCTCACACACCCTTATACTGCCTACTACACTTTATGCTTCTTGTCTGTGTGAACGACCACAGAGCAGTAAAAAGCCAGACAGAGGAGTTATCAAAACCCCTTTAGTAGAACAATTTTCGATTTAAGGCACCAGAAAACAGGTTCATCCTTGAACTTTTCTTTTTTTCTACTTACGGAGATTTTTTTTTTCTGTATTTCCTTCCATATATAACATGAATTCTTCCACGAACATAAGAGCATATATACATACAGCCTTTTATTCCCCAGAACCGTATCTTAAACTCAACAATACTGCACCCCACCGCCTAATTCTTTATTGTGCCAACAATTCCTTGAGTTTGGGTGTTGAGCCTTTATGACATGTTTCCTTAGCTAGACATGCTTTTATTTTTCTTGTAATAACACACAAAACTACTATAACATGGTGCTAACTACAACATGAACTATTTGTTGGAGCTTTGGCAGTCCTGTTCTTAAGAGCCTGAATTCAAAATAGAAGAAAGCATGTATTTATTAGTTCTACAGACACTCTTGGAACAAATACCAGGGAGCCAAGAGGAAAGACAGGGTCTGGGGACCGTCAGAAAGAATCAGCTATGAAAGGGGGTTCATTTTATAGGACTCCCAAGGAAGCCGGCAAAATAAGAGTATTTTTCCTGTAGCCTCCCTTAAAATGGACAGAATGGACATTTATCTAAAGAGTCTTAGTTACTGACATAATGCCCTTCCAGATTTGTCTTAAAGCATCCTTCTTCCCAGGGAGGATCTCGGAATGGTTTCTTTTCACAGTGAAACAAAGAGTGAGTTTTACATCTCACAATCCATCTTTTCTAGAATAAAGAGATCCCTTGACATTTGCAAAACAGCAGATTTTGTTTTAGAGCTTTAATAATGACTGTTTTCTACACCAGGACTTCTGAACTGCGCCCAAGATAAGGTACCCAGATTCTATTGTAAACTTGGCCTGCCTAACAGGAAAACATCGCTGACCTACCTGCTCTCTAGCCTGACTCCCCATCCTTCTGCAAAATAGACATGAAAACCCCTATTCTTTGCTTTTCAGTGGTTTTGTGACTTAAACTGATAAATCGGAGTGTTTAAAATTATACTGAACTCCTCAAAGATATAATGTACACAAAACCTCATTGAAGTGTTTGGTGTTGTCCAAAAAAAAAAAAAAAAAACCTAAAGACTCTTAGTATCTGAAGTGTAATTTTAAAGAGCTTTGTGGGGTTTGCGGGGGTTTTTTGTTGACTGGCTTAGTTTGTTGTTTCCTTATCCAAAGTTGAAGTATTTAGCGCTCTCGCCACAAGGGGTCCTCTCTAGCAATTCCAATCACGCCGAGCGCCCCCACAAGCCTCTAAATTTACATCCCTTTGCCGACAGAAAACACACATCACCTAATGTCAAGTTTCCACAGCTAACTATCGGGAAGCAGACAAAACCAGAGCGATCTGGCTTGCTCTGTGTGATCGCTGAAGCATGCTGAACACTAAACAGTTCCTGTAAACTACACAGCCCTGAGTTTCTGCCTCCTGGCCCCCTTCCAAATGGCCGCAGTCGCCTGTCACCTCACCCGGTCTTGTTCAGTATTTATATTCCTTCCCTATTGGCTGGTTTCCTTTCTTTATACTTTTCAAACTTGAAAACTTTGGCTCACGTTCCACTTACAGACAAAGCTTAGGAGCAGAAGAAAGAGTAAAAAGGAAAAAAATAAATCAGGGCCATTAGGAGCAATGCTCCTGGGGCCATCAAATGTGTGGTTTTGATTTTGAGTATCAGGGCCGGTCCCCCTAAAAAAGTCACTGGCATTAGTGTTCTGAGAGGCCCTTTATGTTCTGCGCCAACTAAAAGATTAGAGGCAAGGGAAGAGGTTCCAAAACGAAGATAATTGTGTCCCAATAAGAAATCCCTCTTGGAAAATAAGCCTTCCGACACACAATCGGTTCTGTACTCAGAATGGAATGATGTTTCTTTGTGTCATTAAAGAATGAAAATAGCTCTTACACAAATCATGCGTCTATTCTGTATGAGATACTCCAAATGTTGGCAAATTGGTTAGGGCTTTTTAAAAGTTTATTGTTTTGGACCAGCAAGGTATCTCAGTGGGTAAGAGCGTTTGCTGTGCAAGTCTGACCATTCTATCCCAGGGACCCTTGACGGACAGACAAATGGGAGTCAGAGAAAACTGACTCCCAAAGATTGTCTCCGGCCTCCACATCTGCCCCTCACACACAATAATTATAAAAATAAATCGAACATACCTTCTCTTGTTTCAAAGATGTTATGTGGTATAGCAGAAAGATGTTTCTCATCCAATCTAGTACTTACGGCGACCCTCTCCTGCCCCGTTGGGGAAAACAAAAGCCATTCAAGATGATGCCCCACAACTTGCCATCATTACATTCATAAACCCCTAAGCCATAAACCCCATCCCCTTCATCCCTCCTATCCCAGTGCTCCCGCAGGGGCTCCGCTCTCCTCTCTGGAGCCCACCTCCTTCTTGGCCCACCTCCTCAACGAATCTGCTAGTTATCTTCACTTCCTTTGCTGTGTACTATCACCAGTTCTCGGGTGAACAGACCATAAGCAACACAACGTTTGCCTAAAGACACTGTCAAACGGGACCTGAGGGTGCAGCTCAGTGAAGGGAGCATGCTTAATACATAATACACTCAACCATCCGTACCAAAGTTAAAAATAAAGAAACCCAGCAAGCAAACAATAACACACTTGCACCCTACCTCTCCCTCTAGTTACAACTACAACCCACTACTGCTGTATTTTCATTTCCCATGTAGTTCACAACACACACAGTGTGACTTTTTTTTTTAACCTGTTCACTCCTATACGGACGGGTCAGTGACCTTGGTAAGTTTTACAATGGTCTCCCTGTGGTCAAATCTATACAGTCATTTGTGGTGATACACTGTGTACCCTAATAAACTTGTCTGAGGATCAGAGGACAGAGCCAGCCACTAGATTAGACATAGAGGCCAGGCAGTGGTGGCACACACCCTTCATCCTATCACTCGGGAGGCAGAGATCCGTCTGGATCTCTGTGAGTTCAAGGCCACACTGGGACCAGAGCCGGGCAGTGGTGGGTGGCACACGCCAGAGCGCGCACATGCACAAGAGCATGCTTGTGGAGGTCAGAAGACTGCTCACGAGTCAATTCTGTCCTTCCACTATGCAGGTCTCAGGAATAGAACTCAAGTCGCCAGGCTTGGTGACAGATACCTTTACCCAAGGAGCCGTCTTGCCAGCCCCCTAAAAAGTCATCGGAAGGAATTTCGTTTGCTGTCATAATCAGCATAATAGGATGTTGGGTAAGAAATTCCCTGTTCCCCGGAATTGATAACCACGTCTATGTGATACGTTACATGTTTATAAGAGCCCCAAGACTAAAATGAAGAAGGAAGAGAGGCGCAAAGGGAAGTGAGGAAGGAAGGGAGGATGAACAAGAAGGTAAAAGGAAGAGACGGAGGAGAGAAGGGAAGGACAGAATCTGTAAAATGCCGCAGATGGGTTGGCATGGAAAACCTGATGGATTACTGAAGTCCCAGACAGATGTTAAAGGAATAATTCCAATTTCTTTCAAAAAAAAGAAAAATTGAAGGTTAGCCGGCAGTGGTGGCGCACGCCTTTAATCCCAGCACTCGGGAGGCAGAGGGAGGCAAATCTTTGTGAGTTCGAAGCCAGCCTAGTCTACAAAGTGAGTTCCAGGACAGCCAGAGCTACACAGTGAGACCTTGTCTCAAAAAGAAAAGGAGCCGGGCAGTGGTGGTGCATGCCTTTAATCCCAGCACTCGGGAGGCAGAGCCAGGCGGATCTCTGTGAGTTCGAGGCCAGCCTGGTCTACCAAGTGAGTTCCAGGACAGGCGCAAAGCTACACAGAGAAACCCTGTCTCGAAAAACCAAAAAAACAAAAACAAAAAAAAAAAAGGAAAAAAAAAATCACAAGTGCCAAGTTTTCAGCCAAAACCAGGAGGGAACTATCCTCTTCCTCTGTCTCTCTCCCTTTGGGTGTCTAGACTCCAGATAAAAGACAGAAGCAGATACTCCACAGCGGAAAGGCAAAATAACATGGTTTTTTTGTTTTTCAATTTCATCACGATAATTATTAGTGAAGAGAAGAGTTTAAAATTGTAAAGGAAAAAATAGGAATTGGATGGCAAAATCTCAGCAGCAAGGTGGCTAAACAAACTGAGACTATTAACACACAAACATTAACATGTTAAAGCGTGTGTGTTGTGTATAAAATACAGTGGGCAGCCAGAGCGGCACCAGCGTGACTAGCACTTAACAGAAGGAATGGCTAGTTTCGCTCTTCCCAGAAGTACATTGACCGTTCGTTTCCACGACATTCCCTATACAGCCAGCACGTTATTTCCTTCAGCTCTCCACACCTGGCTCCAACCTCAACTGTAAACTCAGTACTTATAAATATGAGTCTTCATTCACAAGGAAACCCAGGACTTCTATTTCAGTGATAACAAAGGAACTTTGAAAGTTAACAGTCTGCTCTAGAAATCCAAGTTTATCTGACAACGTCAGGGATGAAGATCATCTATG